CGGAGATTTGATCAAGAGGATGGGACATTCCCTGGGACTGTTGATAGTCCAACCCCAACCTTCAGTGTTGGCCCTGTCTTTGATGTTGTGCAGTTCGATACCTCCACGTCAATTGCCCTCCCGATGTCGACCGTCCTCTTACAGGTGGCGAAGGCCCTGTGGGACAAGCCATCTTCTGCTCCAGAGTCGTCCAGACGTCTGGATCATATGTATCAGGTCCAAGAGACGGAGGCTGAATTCCTTCATATCAACCCCAAGCCCAACTCCATGGTCGTGTCGTCCACCTCAAAGAGTAAATGTACCCTCGCTACTCCTTCCTATAAGGAGAGCAAGAAGTTGGATTCCATTAGTCGTCGTTTCTACTCAGCTGGAGCTCTTGGAATTAAGACATCTAATTATATTGCTTGTATGGGCCGTTACCAGTACTCGCTCTGGGAGCGCTTTACCAACCTTTTGACCTCGGTACTTGAGGACAAACGTCAGGAGGCCAGGAAGCTGCAAAAGGAAGGCTTGCTGCTCTCTAAACAAATAATAAATTCTTCCAAACATACTTTGTACACGTTTTCCAAAACAATGTCGTCTGCAGTTGCCGTCCTTAGGCAATCCTGGCTTAAAACCACTGCGCTCCCTGCTGACACCATGGCATACATAGAGGACTTACCTTTTGATGACCAGGGGCTCTTTCATGCGTCCACTGATTCGACGCTCCAGGACATGGATAAGAGCATTAAGGCCTCGAGGTCATTGGGGGTCTCTGCCCCCCCTAAACCCTTTTGTCCTCGTTCTTGGTCTCGTTATGGCTCCAGGCGTCAATACGCTAAACCGTCACTGGACGAAGGCTACAGACCACATCGGTCTCTGCAAACAGGCAGCAGTACCAGACCAGGCAAAGATATGGCTCTGGACAGCAACTTGTCAAACCTAAACAACCTAAACCTGGCAAGCAGGGCCTTTGACTTCCGCCTGTCTACCTCTTCCGACCCTACCCGCCTCCATCCCTATTTGCAGGCCTGGGCCACCATTACGTCGGACCAATGGGTGCTTTTCATCTTAGCCAAGGGCTATTCCATCAAATTCATGGAACTCCCACCTCTTCCTGTAGTCGTCACCACTCCCCCATCGTAATTCCTCCTCGAAGAAGTCACCACACTTCTGTCGAAAGGTGCTATAGAACCTGTGCCTCTAGATCACCAGGGACTCGGTTGTTATTCCCGGTACTTTGTGGTACCCAAAAGGGACGGCGGGCAGAGGCCGATCCTAGACCTTCGCGGCCTCAACACCTATATACAGTACCAGAAATTCAAAATGACATCCCTACCAGTCATTCTGCCTCTCCTGTCCCAAGGATGCTGGATGGCCACCCTCGACCTCGAGGATGCCTATTTCCATTTAACTATCCACCCCTCCCATCAAAAATACCTCCGGTTTGTGATAGGAGGCAACCACTACCAATACAGGAGTCTGCCGTTTGGCCTCAGCACGGCCCCGCGGGTCTTCACCAAGACGATGGTGGTTGTTGTGGCACATCTCCGCCTCTATGGCTTGACAGTGTTCCCGTATCTAGATGACTGGCTTCTGGTCACACATTCCCGGGACCTTCTTATTCACCATATATTCCAGGCCCTCAATGTCCTTCGTTGCCTTGGTCTCCAGGTCAACCACAAAAAGTCACAGCTGGGTCCTTCTCAAAGAGTGCAGTTCATAGGGGCGATACTCGACTCCAGAGAAGGCAGAGCTTTCCTGCCCTGAGACAGGGCCCAAACCCTGACCACTCTTGCAGAACAGGTTTGACTCCAGGACACAATGTCTGTTTTCCAGATTCAACGCCTTCTGGGCCTGATGACAGCTACAACTGTTGTCCTTCACGTTGCGAGGCTGCGAATGCGTCCACTCCAGCTTTGGTTCATACAGCACTTTAAGCCCCTACGGATGTCCCAGTCGGTTCGTCTCTCTCTGCCACAGGAGGCATGCAACTCCCTTCTCTGGTGTACATGGCCAGACAACCTGACGCAGGGTGTCCCTTTCCACCCCCTCACGACCGACGCCTCGCTGTGGGACTGGGGAGCTCACCTCAACGGCCTCTCTGTAGGTCACAAGAGGGATGTCTTGCCCTCAAGAAAGCACATAAATTTTCTGGAACTTTTGGCAATCAAGCTGGCCATCCAGTGTTTCCAGCCTCTTCTCACTGGAAGATGCATGACTGTATTGACCAACAATACGACAGCCCTCAGTTACGTCAACAGGCAGGGTGGAACGGTCTCCCGCAGTCTCTGCCTCTTTGCTCTAGACCTTTGGGCCTGGTGCATACCTCTGCACATCTTTCCCATTGCCTCATACATCGCTGGCAAGGCCAATGTGCATCCGGATCTGCTCAGTAAGGGTCTCTCTCAGCGTCACGACTGGGAGCTGAACTGGACCTACCTACGTCCTGTATTTCAAAAGTGGGGTATGCCTCACATCAACGCCTTCGCCACCAGTTGCAATTTGAAGTGCAACCTGTTTTGTTGCAGGGGAGCACAAGATCCCAAGGCCTTGGGAGACGGGCTCCTTTAGCCATGGGACAACAACTTCCTATACATGTTCCCCCCTCTGCCGCTGCTGCTGAGAACGGTCCAAAGACTCATGAGGGTCCACACAAGATGCATCCTGATCGCCCCCTGGTGGCCAAGGCAACCTTGGTTCACCAACCTCCTCTCGTTGGCCAAGGCTCGCCATCCTCTCCCACAGGTGCCGGATTTGCTCCTGGCGGAGGGAGGAGCTCTGCTGTTCCACGGGGTACACAAGCTCAAGCTAACAGCTTATCTCATGGACAGTTAACATTCTCAGATAGAATCACCACTGTGCTACTCAATGCTAGGAAGGATTCTACGCGACGTTCCTATAGTGGGAAGTGGGCTCATTCCTTGGCCTCCATACAGCCCTCTGACGTGCCCCCGGCTTCTGTCACGCTTGACCAGATCTTAGCATTTCTGCTTTCGCTGGCAGAAAAGAGCCTCTCGCACTCCTCAATCAGGGTGTATTTGTCGGCTATTTCTGCCTACTATCCGGGCTTCGAAGGTTTTTCCGTCTTTTCTCCTCCACTTATATCCACCGATCTGGTCACCAGTACCCTTGTGGGACTTGCTGCTGGTGCTGCGCCATCTGATGGGATGGCCCTTTGAGCCTTGCGAGCTAAAACATGCAGCATGGAAAACTGCCTTTCTCGTTGCCATTACCTCGGCCAGGAGGGTGGGCGAGCTCGTGACTCTTTATCATGACCCACCCTTCCTTGTCTTCCTACCGCACGGTGTGACACTGGTACCTGACGTCTCTTTCCTGCCTAAAGTGTTCTCCGAGTTCCATCTCAGCTCAGAGATCTTCTTGCCAAACTTCTTTCCTAGCCCGAAAGATGGCCAACAGCGTCTCCTCCATGCACTAGATATTAAGAGGGCGCTACTTTTCTACCTTGACAGGACACGCTCGAGTAGGAGGGACAATCACCTGTTTGTCTCCTACTCCAGTCACTCCACAGGACAAAAGATCTCGGCACAATGTCTCTCCAAATGGATTGTTGAGACTATTAAGCTGTGCTACCAGTTGGCTAAGTCCCCTTTGCCTCTGCGAGCGCACTCCACAAGATCCATAGCTACGTCTACAGCCTTCTTGAAGGGTGCTTCCCTGTCGGCGATATGTGGGGCTGTGACATGGTCTACTCCGAACACTTTCATCAAGCACTACGCTATTGATGTTCGTGAACGCCACAGAGTGGACCTTGGTCGTCTAGTCCTTTCGTTGGCAGAGCATTGAATTTGTGACAGCTCCCATCTCCAGGTGATGCACAGAGACTATGAAGAAGATAAACAGGTTGCTTACCTGTAACTGATGATCTTTGAGTGGTCGTCTGTGCAGTCACACCACCCGCCCGTCCTTCCCCACTGCTGTCGCTTCAGTACTTTTCTCTGGTTATTGACATGACAGCGGTCAGAAGGAACTGATGGGATGTCCACACCCCACCTCCTTAAGAACATAAGAGATGCCAATGTTGGATCAGGCCAAGGCCCATCCAGTCCAACACTCTGTATCACACAATGGCCAGAAATACCAGTGCCATCAGGAGGTCCACCAGTGGGGCATGCACAGTGGGGTTCCCGCACATGCCTGGGAGGGAGGCGCGAAAATCCATTTGTGAGCTTTGCATACCACCGATTCGGATCAGTGCAGGCACATAATCCCATGGGTGTGACTGCACAGATGACCACTCGAAGATCATCAGTTACAGGTAAGCAACCTGTTTTTCTCTGAACATGCCAGTGCATTCTTTTCAGCCCTTATCCTAAAAAAGATCACATTGCCCAACTCCCAAGACACACATTGTGACGAGACAACAGCTCACATACTGCAAGAGACAAATTAACTAACAAAAAGGGCTCCCAAGCCACTCGTTGGCCTCCTATGGGAGTGACTCTGTGGTTTCACTTCAAAAATGATTGAATGTTCCCATCTTTCTCCATGCAGAGAGGTACTAGACTTCCCTGTCCCTCAAGGAAGACTCCCTGCTGGAGCTCTACCTGTGTGGCTGCTTTTGTTGTGCCTGCTTCCAGTGAGGAGACATGCCCAGAGCAGCAGCCCAGATAGATGCACGATGTGCATTCTTCTCTCAGAGTAGGTGATTATGTCACATCACAATGTGGGCAGCATATGTGCTCCTTGTGGCAAGTTTAGAGCATTATGAAAGTCCCAAAAAGGGAACATCTAAATGAGATTTTCTTTGGAATAAAAGTGATAAAAATAGGGATCCTTTACCAAACTGCAACAGCACCAGAATATAGGTATTATAACTATGCTCTGCAAATTCCGTTCTGTAGCATTCTAGGTTTTAATACATAACCCCACACTGTCTGAGTAAATTCCTTTTCTGTACCTTCTGAAGTCAGTTCCAAAAGGTAGTTATTTAATGTGGTATTTGCTGTTGACCCAGGTTACTAACCTTTAAGCTCTGCTTGTTTGTTTTTTCCCTTCAGGCTGCTAGTACACCGCTGAACCCTTTGAGCTTTCAGTGTGGGTTTGTCAAGCTCCGGATTGACCTGCTGCAGGCTTTTTCTCAGCTCATCTGCACTTGCAACAGCCTGAAGACCAGTCCCCCTCCTGCCATTGCAACCACAATTGCCATGACCCCTGGCAGTGATCTTCAGCGCTGTGGGCGCATTTCCAACCAGGCACGTGTACTCCTTTGTCTCTGTGGTGATTTTTACCTGGGTCATTGAGCTGAGATTAGAACAGTGAACTCTTTGACAGAACAAACAACAAGTGGCCTCTGTCCAGCCTGCCATGGTGTGATGAGCATCATTTTGCAAGGGGTTTGAACCAACAGTGTTCCTCTGCATTCCTCTTGTGCTGGTACAGGCTTTACTTAGATATAATACAATTATGCACAGAGCCAGTGTGATGTAGTGGTAAGAATGCCAGACTAGGATTTGGGAGACCCAGGTCCAAATCCTCATCCTGCCACGGGGGCTTGCTGGGTGACCTTGAGCCAGTCAGACACACTGTTAGCCTGACTTAACTCACAGGGGTTGTTATGAGGATAAAACGGATGAAAGGGAAAGAATGTAAGCTGCTCTGGGTCCCCATTGGGGAAAATAGAATAAATAAATAAAAATACCAGCAACAGAGAGCATGGGTGCAAACAAAAAATAGGAATGTAATTCAGTGTTGCATAATCTGTGGCAATTGTTCCTTTGCATAAACCATGCATTTTTTTGTTGTTCATTTGCTGAAGATGAAACTCTCCATGGAAGAATTCAGGAACCTGGCCTCCAGATACGGAGATCTCTATCAGTCATCTTTTGACGCAGACTCAGCCACTCTGAGGAATGTGGAACTGTATCCTGCTATTGAAAGTGCAGGGGGTAGTTATTTTTTCCTGGAGGGATGCTGAAATTATAGGGGGAAGCATGTAGAGGGGCACCGATTGGCTGTTTTAGGTGTAGAAGCTCCTGACCCAAGTCTCCTGAGGTCAACCATTATTGAAATAGGCATAGGAGACTCAAGAAGCCTACAACTGTAGCTGCTTGGTCTGTAATGACCAGAGAATGTATTAAAGATGATTCCCTCCTGAGAATGGACTGGTCAGTTCAGATTATAGTGGTATTCTCAATGAATGGAGATATAGAGATAGAGTTCCAAACTACCCTGGCGGAGATCCACTGCCCCATACAACACATGTCCAGGTGTGCCTCACTAGGATAGCTGTGCTTTCTCCTTGGAGTGCTGTGGTGTTATAGGGAACTACCCCACTGCAAAGCACATGTTATTAAGAATCATGAAGTTGTGTGTATTCATACAGCAGTGTTAACTAAAACAGTTATCTCAGTAAGCAGACACTCAGAGCATTATTTCCCCAAAAGCCCCTTTTGTGGAATCATTCACCAGGGCCCAGTTTGTTGAAGCCCTTAGCTTTCAGTTATACTAAGCACAGTATACAGTTAATGCTGCAAATGATGCTAACCCTGGTCTACATCATGCCCCTTGTAAATACAATCTACCAGCAGAACTTGGGAGGGTGCAAAACCTGTGGTACAAGCATAAATTTTACTGTTTTAATGTATCACTTTCTTTTGAAGGGCAACACTAACATCATTGTCATTTGTTAGTGAGAATTCGTCTCCAAGGATTGACAGAGCTACCTTTATTCCAAATCAGATCAATGCTCCATGGAGCTCAGTATGGTGCACTTTCCACTATCCAGTCACCAAAGGTCTTTTTTCAGCAGCAGAGGTTGAACTGGGTCCTTACACATGCAAAACAGCCATTCTACCCTAGCGTCTCCATAATTACACATTTTGGTGGCGGGGGGAGGGGTTTGAATCTATAAGAGCAAATGAATCCATTCATTTGAGAGGCTCATTTGCTCCAGTACCCTCCTTTGGAAGCCTTGGCAAGCCACTAGATCCTGTCAAAGAGTTGCTTCAGATGTTACATTACAAAGCATGTCGTGTGTGTACAACAACGATGCATCTTGTGTATTCTTTGGGGAAGCACATAAGGGAAGCAGAATTGGCTACAGATCCCTGTCATGTATATGTGCGGTGGTGTACTTTTTGTGTTTGCTACCATAGACTATGTGAAGTAGACCTTTGAGTTTACTATTATCATCTTCCACATCAATTCTGATATGAGTGTTTTTAGAATACTGTGAAATATAAAATTTTGCATCTTTCATTTGTTTACCTTTATTATTACATCAGACAACAACAGAGTTGCTTGTTAATATCACATGCAATTGAAGCCCTGATTTTAGATCCTGAGTCCACAAGGTAAGAGTGTGATAGAACCTTTTATCTTCAGCTTCTTATTTAATTGAGGTGAAGAAGGGAGCTTGGAAAAGAGTCTGCTAGGAAATGGAGGAGCCTTATTGACTACTTAATTCCTTTTCTGCTGGAGAGGGTGGGGTTTGTACTTTAAGGGCCACATCCCATCATCTCCTAAAAAGGAATGGCGATCCAGAGCATGTTTGCTCTTACTAGCAAGCTCTCACCTAACAGTCAAGGTTTTTGCTCCCACTAATGGCCAGTCTTGTTGGATATTGCCATCAATTGATGTGAACCCTTGAGCATAGCTGAGAATGGACCCAAAATTCTCCAGCATCTGCACTTTGCTAGGAAAAGTCAGTACTGATGTGCAAGCTGACTTTCAAGCCAACTTGTCTGCCATTCATTACCTTAGATTCAGGAGGGGTAGCCATGATGGTTAGAAGCAGCAGAACACAATTTGAGTCCAGTGGCACCCTTTAAGACCAACAAAATTTTATTTAAGGCGTAAGCTTTTGTTTGCAAGCACACTTCCTCAGACAAATCGAAACAAAATTTCTTCAAGCCTTATATAGGGGGGGGGGGGGGGTAGGTGGAGGCGTTGAAGGACCAGTCAGGGTTAAAATGCATAAGTGAAGTTGAGATTGAATCATGGCAGCAAGATCAATGAATGGCAGCAAATTAGCACACAAATGCGAGCACTAACAAGCAGACTTGAGACAAAGCCTGAGTCCAGTCTTGGGAGTGCTGCTAGACTCAGGCTTCATTCTCACATCTGTTTGTTATATCTCACATGTGTGTGCTAATCTGCTGCCATTGATCCAATCTCTGGTGTCAGTCCAATACTGAAAACACCTCCCAAGTCCCAACAAATTTCCTATCTGAGTCAGTTCTTCTCAGTGAAGCAAAAAAGTCCAATGTTAATAGAGACAAGGTGATCCTGTTAACGGGGCACCAGTAGTATCCCATTTCCACAGTTCTTCAGGAACAGGTACCGCAACCAAACATAATTAATCTACAACAAAATAAATACAGGCCAAAAGCATACATTGGTTTCCAAGGCACGTGGCGTTAGATGAATATTGCTAGACTTAATTTTGTTTTCTAGCTTTCAGGAATATGGCTCTGCTGGTGGGGCACATGCCACAAGTGAATATGAAAGGAGAATGATGTCTGTGTTTAGTCAAGTGTTGGAGGAGGTGGAATCACTTAACAGGAAATACACACCTGTATCTTACATGGCAAGTAATGGCTACTGCATATTACAAAGTTTTAAACTATCTCTGAGGCGTGGCTTGGAAGTTTTAAAAAAGTACTTTGAGTTTTCATTGCATGCAAGTAATGTGTGTTCCAGCTCCTGCCAACCTAGCAGTTCGAAAGCAAGAAATTGCAAGTAGATCAATAGGTACCACTTCGGTGGGAAGGTAACAGCGTTCCGTGCGCCTTGGTGTTTAGTCATGCCGGCCACATGACCACGGAATCGTCTTCGGACAGTGCTGACTCTTCGGCTTTGAAACGGAGATGAGCACCACAACCCTAGAGTCGGACTCGACTGGCTTTCGAGCAAGGGGACCTTTACCTTTAATGTGTGTTACTAGGGAGCCAGACCTGACCTAGAGTAAAATGAGAGATTCATGTCATGCCCACGGGTAGCATAATTTTAATGACTTGGCCCTAGCTGCAGTGGGTGCCTTCCTCCCACTGAAGTAGCTCTTCCGTTAGAGGAAGCACCTCTTAAGTTGGAAGAAAACTTGTTAGGCTGGAGAGCTTAGTGGAGTGGTAGGATGCAGGCCAGCATTTTCAGTGGTTGGATTAGGAGGGACCAGTCAAGATTTAGGATTATTAGAAATGGAAGTCTGTAAGAACAAACGGAGATAAATTGACATGAAAAGTTAAAGGAGGACTGTTCCTGTCAGCTATAAATGAATATAAATTATCACAGGTAGTTTCAGAGGGTAGTTGTGTTGGTCTGCAGTAGAGCAGCTAGGTTTGGTTCCATAGTGTCTTAGAGATGAGGTAGATTTTCGGGGTATCAGTTTTTGAGAGAAAGCTCGGATGAAGGGAGCTTTGACTTTTGAAAGCTTATACACCAAAAATGTTCTTGGTCTCTGAGGTGCTGCTGGTCTTGAATCTAGCTCTATAAACCATTAGTGGTCATTGCCAAGCTTTAAAAAAGGAACAAAAAAAGAAAGAAAATATGTTGTGGTAAGTCTAAAATAATCGTGGAAAATGCTTTAGTAGCTGTAGCGAAACCAACATTTTCTTTTGGAATGGAGAAGAGAACCTCAGATTGAGCTGCATATAACTAAAGTTTGTCCAAGATCTTTCAGAATGCAAATCTCTTAGCTTTGCGTGAAACAGAGATGCTTTAGGGGCTTGTAAATGGTTTTGTCAACAGAAGTCCTTTGGGATCTTGGTTGTATCATACACTTCCTGTCCTGGTGGCTGCCAGGCAGAAAATTCTTTTGTAGACCATGTGAAGCGTCCTGGATGCCATATGCTGTTGTTCCAGCTTTGCTTCATTCATTAAAACTGACTGTGTTTCGGTACAACTTTTCACTGGTGCAGAGTGTTTTATCCTATTAAGGCAGGTCATCCAAGAACATGAGCACCAGTTGTAACAACTCCAGGCAACAGAATGGGAGAATCATTATTCAGTTTCATTCCTTGCGGCTAAGTGAGTTTATGCTTTTGACTGACAAAGTTAGGGTTTCATACTGACTTTTAGGGGATTTCCTTTTGACAAGGGAACAGGGATTTTGGTGACTGCTTGTGTGTGTTCCTCACATGAACAGAATAACTTACATGAGTGAAAATGGACAGGCTCTTGGACAAAGACTAAAGTGGTGGTCTTATCTCTTGCTAGCCACTGCTGTGCCCAGGTGTAGTACAGATATGAAGCATGGTAGGATTTCCAAATCTAAGTGCTTCACAGTCCACGGATGATTCTTCAGCAAAAACATCATTTTGTAGTAGAGACTTTCTCCAGATTATGGACAAAGAGGTTGACTATGGGTTCCCTCTACTTAGGCCCCTTCTTCTCCTAGTCTCTTCCCACAGCCAGTACTGCCTTCACCTGCTATGTCTGGCTGTCCTGCTCCATCTCTCTCAGCCTGCAGCCCCCTTTTGCCATGAAGCCCAAATCAGGTTGTTGCAGCCATCACCTCTTTTTCACAAGTATTCTTGGTCATCTGATGTAGCAAGGAGGGGGGGAGTGTCAGTAACAAGGACACTCTTCTGTTTGTACGGTTTCCTCACTTACTTTAGAACTGTGCTTAGGACTATAGCTAGTGTTTGTCCTGTCCCATCAGAAGAAAGGAAATACATCTCTTGGATTTTCTTCATTTCTGCAGGTTTTTCTGTATTTTTTTGGCTTCCTCTAAGTATAGGTGACTGCCATCCTAATACTCAAAAGTACACACTGTTTTCTGTCTCTGCAGTAAGAAGGATTAATTCTGATCTGGCTTCGTATTGTTTTATTCTAGCACACAGCTTGTCTATGCAGTGCAGTCATTGCCTTGCTGAAAGTTCCCTTGTCATTTCAGAGGTATTTCTTCCAGAAGCTACAGTCAACTAGCATTAAGGTAAGTAATAGCTGCATCAAATTTTAACTAAAGTTGATGGAAAAGAATTTTATGTGAGGGGAACCCAAATTCTTATCATTCCCATACTTTCTCTGGTCATTGTGGTGTTAGTAGCAGTGGGTGGAGAGAAAGGTTTGGGCCACAGTGCTGAAAGGGGGAAAGATGGTTGGGTGTCCATAGTAGTAGTAATTAGGGATTGACATGAACTGGGGAAATGGAGGTTTCTCATGGTTTGTGGAGTCACATGAACCTTAACAAACCTCCCCGTTTACTGAACCAGTTGCATTTCGTAAGCTTTGTGTTGCAGTGAGCGGGGGATCTGAGATCTTCCCTCTCTCCTTTCTGCTGGTAGCGGCTCCCCAAGGCCAGCAGAATGGAAGGGGAGAAGCCACACTGCATGCGAGTGAAGTCCAGGCAGCAAGTTCACCTGGAAGTCCATCCCCCCATTGCTTTGCCGATTAATTGATTGGTGCTAGTGTGTCTGCCACACAAATCCCAACACGAACTGCACGAACCTCCACAACAAAACATTGAGGATTGTGGGAGGTTCATTGCAAGTGCTGTCACATGACCTTCAGCTCACAAACCAGGCAATATTTGTCAGGAAATTAGGTTCGTGATGAGTTTCATGTCCATCCCTGGTAGTAATGCACACTTACGAAGCACTTGATACAGGGTGCTGTATAATTAATAATTTCAAGGCTGCCACATATCTAATCTATGTATACTTTCTCCCTCCCACCACCACCCAAGAAAATGCAGTTTCTCTTTTTGCCTCCCTCTTCTTTCTGTGTCATTGGGAATTCTAGTACTCTGAAGGCTTTACTACTGAATGATGGATTTGTCTTATTCAACCTTCTTATTTTTGTGAAATCAATTGGATGGCTTGACGGACCTCTGTATTTACTTTTCCTGTCCTATCTTGTGGCTTATCATATTAGTTCATCTTCTTTATTCATTGTAAAGGTTAATTTTACTAGCGCTGGTATAATATGGTTTTAAATTCTTCTACACCATTAGTCTCATATCTTGCTTAGAAAATAATTGAGCATTTTTTCTAAAGCTCTTGGGCAGCAGTTCAAGTACTGTATGAATAAAACATATCTGAAGGCAACACTATAGAAATTATCCAGATTTAGCAATGAAAACAGGTTCCTGTACAGATGATCGTACTTTGGAGGAGTACATTTAATTTTTCACATGTGGGCTCCTTTGTCACATGGAGGCCATATCTTCTGCATTGTCACATGGAGATCATATCTTTTATAATTTGTAGCTGGGAGAATGTGATGCATCTTCCCACAATGCATTATGGTGGGGTTGTAGGGGGATGGATTCCAGCACTGTAGTTGTTTATCCCTAGAACACTGTGATAGAAAGCAACACAACTAGAACATTCTGCTCAACCTTATAATTACTTAAGGATACGTATTAAATGCTGTGATTCCTCCTGCACAGAGTATGAGAGTTGTGGTTGGGGTAACTGTAGGGATAAGGCCTACCAACTACAATTTCTAAGGCAGTATTCTTGGTTCATGGATACACCATTGTACTTAGGGAGACGTTGTTTGCCATAAGTGATAGTGCAATTTTACCAGAACTGTGACTGTGAACAAGACGCAGCCTAAGTGTAAAATCCTGTTAAGATATGTGTTTGGCAAATGTTGTAGTTCCCTTGTAGCATCTCCACATGGGAGCACTGACGGGATTGCTCTAAAAAAGCAATGCATGAATTTCATTTCATTTTTATTTTATTTTTATTTATTTATTATTGCATTTTATCCCGCTCTCGCCGCGAACGGGCTCAGGGCGGCTTACAAACAAGGGCAACCATGTGCTAATATAAAACATTAAAACCAGATTAAAAACAACCATAATTAACAATAATAAAGTGCTCAATGATGTTCATCATGCAGATCGAATCAAGATGGTGACCTATAGATATTACCCAAAAGCCCGATTCAGCGGTACCGATCCATCGTGATACTGTGGCAAGATCTTGATAACGGGCCATCCCATTACCCCGTTGTTACCACAAAATAGCTGGTGGTAGTGGCAGCTCCTGGTTGAAAGCCTGGCGGAAGAGCTCCGTCTTGCAGGCCCTGTGGAACTGTGAGAGGTCCCACAGGGCCCTGATCTCCTCCGGGAGCTCATTCCACCAGGTAGGAGCCACCACTGAAAAGGCCGTGGCCCTGGTTGCCACAAGCCTGGCCTCCCTGGGGCCTGGGATCACTAATCGATGTTGAGCCCCTGACCGTAGTGCTCTCTGGGGTATGTATGGGGAAAGGCGGTCCCTCAGGTAAGTCGGACCCTGGCCATATAGGGCTTTAAAGGTAAATACCAGCACCTTGAAGTGGATTTGGAAAGCTATTGGCAGCCAGTGCAACGCTTTCAGCGCAGGCCAGATGTGTTCCCATCTAGGGAGACCCATCAGAAGCCTGACCGCAGCACTAACTGCAGCTTCCGAATTTGCGACAAAGGCAGCCCCATGTAGAGAGCATTACAGTAGTCTAATCTCGAGGTGACCATCGCAATAATCACTGTAGCCAGGTCGTCGTGGTCGAGGAAGGGGACCAACTGCCGAATCAGCCGAAGGTAGGAAAAGGCTGAGCCAGCAGTGGCTGCCACCTGGGCCTCCATAGTTAAGGAGGGATCCAGGAGCACTCCCAAACTCCTAACCTCCAACGCTGGCACCAAAGGTGCCCCGTCGAAGGTCGGTAGAGGGATCCCTGTCCCCAGACCACCCCGACTCAAGCACAGGACCTCCGTCTTTGCTGGGTTTAGTTTCAGCCAGCTCAGTCTAAGCCAGCCAGCCACGGCTTGCAATGCCTGGTTCAGATCTTCTGGGCTGAAGTCTGACCGGCCACCCAAAATCAGATAGAGCTGGGTGTCATCTGCATATTGATGACACCCTAGCCCCATACCTTCAAGCAATCTGGGCAAGGGGGCGCATATAGATGTTAAACAACATCGGGGAAAGCACAGCCCCCTGAGGCACACTGCAATCGAGCGGGTGCCTCTGGGACTGCTGTTCCCCTAGCGCCATCCTTTGTCCCCGACCCTGGAGAAAAGACGCAAGCCATTGAAGGGCAAGCCCCTGTATCCCCGTGTCAGCGAGGTGGTGGGTCAGCAGCTGGTGGTCGACCGTGTCAAACACGGCCGACAGATCTAACAACAGGAGAGCTGCCACACCGCCTCGATCCAGATGCCAGGGGGTCGATACAAATTGGGAGAGTCCCAATTTGTCATTTCATTTCATTTACTACATTTTTATCCCACCCTCCTCACATGCAGGCTTAGATTAGAATGTTCTTTCAGGAGGTCCTGTAACAGACAAGCATCTTTAAAATCCCTAACAAGGTACCTCAGGAAATAGTTGACTCTGAGGCAAGCTGGGCTTAGAAAGATTTATAACAAGTCTCAGCTGTGTTGAATTAAGCAACAGCCTTTTAATGTGATTTCAGTTATTAGGTTTAAAACTGCTCTGGTGGGATCACAACAGTAAAATAATATTATCTTAAATAATTATAATTTAAAACAACATTAGTTCCCAAAAAGGTCCCCCAAAAGAAACTCCCTGCTGTCTTTTTGGAACTCGCTGGAGAGGCTGCTTGGTGAGCCAAGGGGATTCTCCGTGGTAGAAACGCAGATGCTAGAGCTGCTCCTTTGTTACCATGGGCATGTTCAGCTTCAGTCCTCCTCAGTGTAATCAGTTGGCTGTGTCAATAGCTGTTGAGTAAATGTCTGCTTAGAGTCGCTTGGAGTATGTGTACATAAGATTGTCAGAGTTGAAAGCTAAGGGCTCTTAACAAGCTTGATAGCTTAGTTGAAAGATTGCAGAATTTGGCGAGGTAAAATCACGGCCTCGATCATAAGTCTTCCCTGAAATCAGGGTCACGAAGATACGACCGTGCTGTGGCTTTTCCATGGGTGAAGCCAGTTGTATGGGTCCTCCCCACCCAGTCACTGTTCCTGGCAGGGTTATGATTGGTTGGAAAGGGCTGGATAATTGGACCGCTGGATGAAGTGATGGTTGAGCAACTTTGCAACCACTGCTGTAAAGACTAAATGGCATCTAAATCCTATGGGTGCTGAAGAAGCAGAATGCTCATGTCCTTGGTTGTGCCTCTAGAATGGCACCAATGGTCTAGAAGGAGAGGCAAAGCCAGTTTGGTGTAGTGGTTAAGTGCGCGGACTCTAATATGGGAGAACCGGATTTGATTCCCCACTCCTCCACGTGCACCTGCTGATGTGACCTTGGGTCAGTCACAAGCTCTGGCACAGCTGTCCTTGAAAAAGAGCAGTTTCTGTCAGAGCTCTCTCAGCTCCATGTACCCCACAGGGCGTCTGTTGTGGGGAGGGGAAGGGAAAGGAGTTTGTAAGCCGCTCTGAGACTCTGAGTGAAGGGCGGGGTATAAATCCAATCTCTTCTTCTTCTTCTCTTCTCCCCCCCCCCCCCCCCAATTTTACAGCGGGGAAACCCACATTCTGTGAATCCAGTAATTAGAGTATACTTACAGTGTATGATAATACTTGCAAGGGGGATGCACAAAATCTACACAACTCAAAGTGCATGAGGGTCAGCATACATTTGGCAGAACCAATTGGTAAACTTTGTCTGCATTGTACCACTTTAGGCTGTGTACATGGGCACGCATGCATGGGTTGAATGTTCTGTCATCTGAAAAACATCTGTATTTACAATATCAGTATGTCATGAGAAACACTACTCTGAACTCTTCGCTCTAACATGCTCATTTTGTATGTGCAGAAAGTTTTTTACATTGAGAACTGTTCAGCATGTGTGCACATCCCCCTCCCCCACCCCATCTGCACACTGTGGCTCAGAGGTTTACTCCATAGTGGCTTTTGCTTCTTCCCTTGTGCTTTAGGCAAGAGTTGCCTGGTAGTTCAGTTCTCTTTCCCCCCCAAAAAAAGAAACTCAAAAGCCTGCAGGTTTTCTACATTTTAGCACAGCATTAGCAATAGCTGTTAGTGAACATTTTAGAGTTAGTGGACATGAGTTTGTGACATTTTAGGTAGGGCAGGATGAAGACGTCCCTGCTGGATTGGTGATATAACATGGTCTCTTGGAAAAGTGAGACTTTTGAGCTTACAGAAAGCATTGGCGGGGGAACCAGTTTATTCCCAAGGAGCCCTACCCTTCTAAGCCTCACTGGTTTTAGGGGACCAAGAAGGATATAATGCTGTTTCAGAATTCTGTTTAGGACTGTACTACTTGTTATCTCAGCCTTTGCCTTGTAATGTGGTTCTGGGATTTAAAAAAATAAAAAAAACAGTCTAGTTTCTTTTAAAACTTTAAATAGTGTGATCCAAAACTATTTGTGAAGTGTTAAAAATACAAAGAAGTGTCAAAAGTGAAAATAATTATTTCCTTCTGTAGGTTATAATGTATATTGATTATGCAATTAAAAACTTTGTTTATGCTGCTACCTTTTGGGAGGAGAGGTTGTTTTAAATTTCTTTGGAGGAGGGAAGTTGTCTCCTGTTCCTTTTGAACAAATGCAGTATAAATTCATTTGTCTGTTTCAGCTTGCCCTGTCACCATCGCCACGTAACCCTGCAGAGCCCATCGTAGTTCAGAATAACCAGCAACTGGCTTTAAAGGTCGAGGGAGTAGTCCAGCATGGCTCCAAACCAGGCCTTTTCCGCAAGATTCAGTCCATCTGTCTAAATGTATCTTCAGTACTACAGAGCAAATCTGGACAGGAGTACAAGGTATGGAAAGTGTAAAGCCATAAGTTCAGGGTGGACAAAAGGAAATACTTTACACAGTGGGTGATTAAAATGTAGAATTCATTGCCAGAGGGATGTAGTGATGGCCACAGACATAGACAGCTTTAAAAGAGGATTAGACAGATTCATGGAGGAAAGGACTATCAGTGGCCCTGGTGATTAAAGGGGAACCTCCACATTCAGAGGCAGTCAGTTTCTGAATCCCAGTGAATCCCAGTGCCAGGAGGCAACATCAGGAGAAAGCCTCAGCCTCTATGCCTTGTTGGGCCTCCAGAGGAACTGGTTAACTACTGTGTGAGACAAGATGGACCACTGGTCTGATCCAACAGGGCTGTTCTGGTGTTCTTGCCTACAGTTGTCTTGCCTGAAACCCATGAAGAATTTATGGGCTTTGTTTTCCCTTCTGAATTAACAAAAATTCTGTCATTTCAGCAGTCTGTTTTAAGCCTGCACAAACTGCTTTGTTTCTGTGGAAAATGAGCCACTAGCAATGCAAGAGGGAGCCTCCGCTGTGAATAAGGTGGTCTCTCTCCTTCTCCTTGAACACTGGCAACCTAGTCTTCTGGACACATTTCTGAGAGGTGGATTAGACCTGATGCAAGTCTCAATGCTATAACTTTGCTAAATTCCCCACCCTGTGCATGTCACTCAGTTATATCACAACAAACAAACAACAAACACAACGTTTATTGGCATATAAAATCAATAAGATAAAACTTCGTCAAGGTAAAATTACATCTGTGAGTCTTAAAACACCAATATTAGGAATAGTTCCTTGCTACCAAAATCTTGGACAAAAAATCAGCAGTCTGTACAGTAACTTCTGGTGACTTATCAGCTAAAAGAAACCTTATTGCACTATCAGAATTGGCCCTAGGCAGTAAAGGCTTAATCAGAAGTAGTCGGAGATGTGAGTAAAGGGGGCAGCATAGCAGAATATGATCTAAAGTATCAGATTCTCTGAGTGGACAATTGCAAATCCTGTCACATTTTGGGATGCCTCTATATCTACCTGAGACCCAAGATGAGGGGAAAACATTAAATCTGGCTAGCATAAAGGCTCTGCGTTGCAGCGGGCTCAGTTATATCTGCACTTCAGAAGCAAAAGACAGCTGGGAATAGATAATCCTTTTATTCATTTGCTGTCTTGGTGATAGCACTTGAAATACCCTGCCAAGAACATACATCTGTTTGGCAGTAGGAAACCAATCTGTTCAAGTGAAAGAACGCTGATGACTTGACATGGCCAATCAACTCCGAAAGGTTCCTAAGCCCTGGGCTTCTGATATGGACAGCTAAGCTTTGTACAATCATTTAGGAAAGAGGCGTGAACAACTTTTTATGTTTTGCGTAGATGTGCTAGATGCAATTAAAGGACAAATTGGCTAATTTCCCCCTCCTCTTCAAGGTCAGAGGTTGCTTCCAGGAATGGAAGGAAGATTGAATTTCACCCATAATTCTGTTTACAGAGCAAAATGGAAAACATCTGAACATTTCCTCTGAGAGGCAGCATAAATTGGCATTCCAACTTTTCTTGTTCTTTCTTTCTCAGATACCCGTGGACAGCGTGACAAATGAGATGGAGCAGATGGTTGAGCCTCACAACGATTACTTCAGCACACATTTCCTCTTGAACTTTGCTGTTGTGGGCACCCACAGCATCACCGTCGAGTCTTCTGTCAGAGACCTCAATGGCATCATATGGAAGACCGGGCCCAAAACCACTTTGTTTGTCAAGTCTCTTGAAGATCCCTATTCCCAGCAAATTCGGCTGCAGCAGCAGCAAGGACAGCAGCCGCCGCCGCAGCAACCTCAACAGCCACAGCCACAGCAACGGACTGCGTATTCACGGTTTTAGCCCTCGGTGCTCTTGACCCTCAGGGGCCTGAGCTAGGCATTCCTTGGGTGCTGCCAGTTCCCACCTCTGTCCTTAGAATTTGCCACCGTTGTCTCTTTCAGGGTCACCACAGCAGATTTTGCCCACCTTTATTGGCCGCATTCACACGTGTAAAACACAGCATGCTTATGCCCCTGAAAGCAGCAGTTTCGGTGGGGTGGGGGATAAAGGTGAACACAGTCATAAGCTGTGCTTGTTTCAGCTTCCTTGGTTAGATTCATGTGAGCCTTGTTGCATAAAAGGGAGGTGGGTGTGAAGAGAATTGAATCCATGCTGTGACAGCTTTCTGATGGATTTATGGCACACCAGCTCATGTCACTACCATTTGCCCCAGGTTAAATGCAGTCTGGCCACCCAGTGAAGCCATTAGCGTGAGTTCAGCCCTTTCTGTATTACCCAGTAATGCATTACCTTACCCCAAAGAAGGATCGTGTGAACTGGCTCATTGTGAAGGCCTGTTGACACTGTGAATAAAAGAAGCCTAAAATTACCTCTTTTACCCCCAGCTTGAACATCAGCAGCAACAGCCTCCCTTTGGAAAGGCAGTGAGTGAGCAAGTCTATAACAATGGTATGTGCTGCAGACCAAATTGCTCTTCTAGTTGACAGTTCCTGAGGAGAGCAAATTCCAGTGCTGCACTTGTGCTTTTCAAACCAATTGGGATGTGTGTGTGTGTGTCTGTGTGTGTGTGTAAAATAGTTCATTCTCAGCCAAGGTATTGTACAATGCATTTACAAATGTAAAAAGGTGGCAGAAATGTTTAGAAATCCTAATTAGATTGATTGTAAGTAGTTATTTTGATCTTTACCAGAATAGAAAATGATTAGGGTATAATTCCCATTATGAAGGGGCATTCTTTCTGCTTCTGGATCCCAGGGCTTTGCTCTTTTGTTACTTCTGTACATATAACAATGCTGAAGGGATGCCAGCTGAGAAACTGAAGAGTACCTTGCTTAAGAGGAAAAGACATTTTAGTTGTAGGGAGTATTTTCCTCCCCAAAAGAGCAGAAATTAATAATTGCCTATGGGAGGGAAGATGTGGACACACGCTGGAAGCTCTCCAGTGGCCAGGGAATATTTGTTGAGAAGATTTCATGTTTTAAGAAGTAGCAATTTACGCTAAATAAGGCTATAACAAAAGCAGATGTACTCAGTGCATTTGTACAGAGAATGATTTTACCCTCTTTTTTACTCTCTTTTTTATGTGAAAAGTAGATTACTGGAAGGAGAGTGCATATATAGTGCCTGAATCCAGTCATTTCAGGGTTTAGATTGTTTAGATTTGAGTAAGATCCACTACCAAAATCTTTCAAGAGTCTTGAAAAGAAGGAACTTACCCCATTTGCATTTGTCACATGATCTCTAACTAAAAAAATACCCTGTTTATTTATTCCCATTAAAGTCAATGATTCTGAGTTGTTTCAGTGGGCATATACTTTAGGTAGTTGGTGAATTGTGATAGAGTGGAAGAAACTGTGTTTTATTTTGACACAGTTTTCAGTGTGTCAGTGACTGCAGTTTTTAGATGCCAGTAGCCTGCTTTAGTGTTAAGGTAAAGCCATACAATTGTGGTATTTTCATTGAAATATTTTTTTGGTATCCTAATGGATTGGTTCAGAGGGCAGTTGCAACAGCCTTTTCTAACAGGATTTGGACTTTTTATATATTGGAAAAACTACTTGGGTGCCTTTTATTTGTGATTCACACAGCCTTACCTGTTATGTGCTGAATAGTCTAATAAAGATTGTGTGTCTAATTTTTGTGCTTCTAATTGGCAAAACTGGGAATATTAGAGTTGAGAAATGGAACCTAATTTTTCCCTTGGCCCAATTTGTTTGTTAGAGAGTTCATGCATTTTGGTAAGTTTGGCATAGTGGGAAGAATGTTAGACTAGGTGACTGGGTCCAAATCCCCACTTAGCTCTCAGGCTCACTGGGTAACTTCAGGTCTTTCACTCAGGGGTGGGCTGTAGCTCAGTGGAAGAGCCTCTGCTTTGCTTTTAGAAGGTCCCAGGTTCAATCCCTGGCATCTCCAACTAAAAGGATCAGATAGGAGGGGATGTGAAGGACCTCTGCCTGAGATCCTGGAGAACCCTCCCAGTCTGAGTAGACAATACTGACCTCTGGATAAGGCAGCTTCATGTGTATTCACTGTCTCTCAGCTTAACCTACTTTTCAGGATTGTTGTAAGCATAAAATGGGGGAGGGGTAAGCCATGTATGCCACTTTCAGCTTTGTGGGGGAATAGTGGGATAAACAAAAATCGATGATGATCTCTCGAGGTGAAACTTTTAACAGATAGCGTCTCAGACAGTTTCAACGCAGGTGAAACTTTGTTTTGCACAAGAAGAACACACACACAACATCTAGTAGTCATACAATTCAGAAAGAGATGCATGTCTTGGTGACTGCTGAAAGCAGAAGATGTGACAATACAAACGGAAAAATTAAAAACTGGTAACATTTGATATTGAAAATGAAGCTGGATGCATACAGCTGGATGCAAGGATAGTACACCAAGGAGAGTTGCCTTCACTGAGGGAAAGAGGATGCAGTGTGCAAGCCTTTGATTTTAGTTCATCATGCTGCTTACATGGTTCTCATGGTACAGTATCATGCCAATTGCTTCATCTAATGCATCAGAAATTATGCTTTTAAGAGCATAAATATGCTGTTTTATAGGCCTGATGCAACATCTCTGAATCTCTGAGAATGGCAAAGAGGGACACTTAGTCTTCCTTTTTGAGACAGAACTCTCCAAGTATGACAGCCAGTTTGCTGTGAGAGCCAGTTTGGTGTACTTGTTAGGTGCGCGGACTCTAATTTGGGAGAACCAGGTTTGATTCCCCACTCCTCCAGAAGCTCCTGGGTGACCTTGGGCAAGCCATAGTTCTCTCAGAGCTGTTCTTGAAAAAGAGCAGTTTCTGTCAGTGCTCTCAGCCCCACCGACCTCACAGGGTGTCTGTTGTGGGGAGGGGAAGGGAAAGGAGTTTGTAAGCCGCTCTGAGACTCCTTCGGGTAGTGATGGGCAGGGTATAAATCCAATATCATCATCTTCTCTTCTTTACACTACTCTCTCTAGCCATGAACTGGTTTGCTCTCTTGGCTCAGTTCTGGTTCCAGTGCACCAGCTGCAAGTGAATAAGCCAGGTTTCCAGTAGGTCACATGTTTCAGCTGTAGCCTGAAATCTTTGCTTTTCTGACAGGAAGTTTGTTAAAAGTCTCCTGGACTTGGCAGCCCCAAACTAGGATCCAAGGAGCACAATAGACTGTGACGGGTCTGCTGCTGCACTTATGAGACAACACACCCTCCACACACAGACACACCTGCCTAAGTGTGATCGAGGAATGCAAACTAATGGCTTTGATCAGACAGCGTCTCTGCTGTCTAATTCTGTCTGCTTAGTTGATGGGCACTGCCTCTTAAAAGGAGAACATACATGGAAGCCAGCTGGTGAGTATGAAAGTTCTCCTTTGCAGTGCTGGCTTTTGCAAGCCTCTGCAGCAGCATGCTTGTGTCCAGAAATCTAGGACTACATCTTTCATGCCAGCATGTCTGTGTTCTTTGCTGGGGCAGAGGAAAAAAAGGTTATGACCAGATGTAGATAGCGCTGAACTTCCTCTCCTGTGGAATTCTGTCCTCAGGGAGATCTGCCAGCCTTATCTATCGAACCATTACCCAATTGTTTAAAATGAGTTGTTTTCCACCCTACCCCGCTTTTCATGGGTGCTAACTGTTCTATTCGTATTTCTGCAATTTTCTTGTGTAAGAGTCTAAGACAGTGCATTTTGGTTAGGTAACATTTAATTTTTCTTGTTTCGTGAGGCTGTTTCAAACTGTTTGTAAGCTGCCTTGAGGGCCAGAATAGTGGCATCTAAATGTAAACAAAACAGGAAGTTTGGGGAAAGAGACCATCTGGAAGAGCAAAAGGTCCCAGGCCTATTCCTGGCCATCTCCACATGAAGGAACTTAACAGGTGTCGGGGAAGACCTTTCTGTACCTGAGACCCCAAAGAGCTGCTGCCCCTCAAATTAAACAATGCTGAGCTTGCTAGATGGGCCAGTGGTCTGACTCCATGTGAGGGAGCATCATATGAAACAGTCAGCTACAACCCCTGGATTGGACTGTGCCACGTGTAATGATTAATGCCGTTCTGTGTGACTGGTGGCAATCTGAAATTTGAACTAGAATTCTGTTTACAGAAGTGTGTGTATAATTTAATTTTAAGGAATCTTGTGACTCCCTTAACAGGCTTATTGTGGCATATGTTTTATTGACAATGTCCACTGTAGTCCTTAGGGATCCACAAGATTCTTGTTTGTTCTGTTCTTTCTGCAGTAGGCTAACATGACACTCTGGAATAATTTTACTTCTTATCACCTGATTCACAGCCAAATAGGTGAACTGATTCCACTGGAAAGGATCATGTTCTAGGAGATAAAGTTTTGTGTGTAATGATTCACACAAAGTACAAACCACCCATGTGCTGATGTACTTCCAACTGTGTACAAAGCTTGTGTGCAAGTGACATTCTTTTTCCATTGCCATATTTTGAATTTATGGCATGAGCAGCTGATTTGAACAACAAAACTAGCATAAGCTGTAGTTAATTTACGGACCAGTCCTCAAGATTTGTTACTTAGAAACAAGTTCCATTAAATGCAATGGAATTTACTCTCCAGTAAGTATTCAAATGTTTCTTTGTGTAATATTACAAACTTAGGTAGGTGGTGGTCTCTGAAATTTAGGATTTCCCCTCCTTATTTTTCAGAGGGTTATTTTCTTGAAGACACTGTAATTTGATAATTTTTACTGGTCTCTTTAAAATAATCTGTAAATAAGCAACTATTCAAAATAATATGCTGACTGTTTAAAAGAGGAATAAAGCAGCTCTCCATTTATATATATGCACAAAACAACAAATTTACATATAGCCTGCTTTGTTAGTGAAAGAGCTACTCCCAGTATAATGATTTTCAGTCATTTTCCTTCTAGATCATTAATATTAGCATTTCTGTAATACATTCCAAAGGCTTAAAGTACTTTCCACATTCTCAATATTTCTTACAAACAGCTCTGTAATGTAGGCCAGTTATTGCCGTATTGCTGGTGTGTGTTTGTGTATAACCATGCGGATGGGGCATCCTTGTTTGTCAATGGCGTCTACAGTGGAAACAACAGGGGGGGAAACTGCCACTGAATGTGGAAGGATAGCTTCAAAGGGGTACTTGAAGTGGAGGGTCTGCAATATACTGGCCCACCCTCTATCTTTCTCTGCATGTCAAAAGGATGGACATTTTACTTAACAGAGTAAAGCCTGGGCCTTCATAATTTACAATTAGGAATGCCCTACCCCCTTTTAAAAGGGTCAGTTTGAACAAAATAATAAAACAATATTTTTAGAGGCCATAGTACAGAAAAGGCCTTGCTACTGCAGAATAAATAAGCAACACTGTCTTACACGATTGCTCAGTTCCCACTTACACAACAGCCCTCCAAAGGGCGATGCTTTTACTAAACTCTGAAAAGCATACAATCGGCTGTCTTGGGAGTAACTCTAAAATCTAGGTGCCACGACCAAAGAGGTCCCAATTATTGGGTGTTCCTGCATATGCTGTTAGGTCCAAATGGATTGTTGCTGTGTGCCAAAATGGTTTCCTGCCTCTAGTTAGTATCATTATGTCTTAGCAACAGAAATGGGAAGTGAACTGTCATTCTGAATTTAATTTGCTTTGAGTGCTCATTA